CTACCTTCTTTTTTCGTCACTACCTTTTTTTTATAGCCTTAGGTCATCCAGGTGGTACATTATTGGACCTCCATGTTGAGAATGGGTCAGGGTCATTCCCTTTTTGGGTCATGTTGCCCTAATCCCTACATTTTTGGATCCACTACCAAGTATACCTTTCCTGGTGAATAATCCAAAAATGGTAGGCTGTAAAGGCAATTGTACTATTCCAGCTATCTTTTGCTCTTATCCTTAGACTGGGTCTTGCCTTAGTGGGCAAGACATTACTAATTTTCCATCCTCCATTCTAAAATCCCTTCTACATCCCAATGTCACTTGAAGAGCCCTACCATAACTTTTTGTTGCTTGGGTCGAGGTTCGACGCCCACCGATCGATGGTTCATGACAATGTTAGATCGAGGTTCAAGGCCCGTCGATCGACAAATTATGAAAGTCGGATCAAGGTTGAGGCCCGTCGATCGACAGATTGTGAAGGTCAGATTGAGGTTCAAGGCCCATCGATCGACAAATTGCGAAGGTCAGATCGAGGTTCAAGGCCCGTCGATCGACAGATTATGAAGGTCGGATCGAGGTTCAAGGCCATTCAATCGACAGATTATGAAGGTCGGATCGAGGCTCAAGGCCCGTTAATCGATAGATTATCAAGGGTCAGATCGAGGTTCAAGGCCCGTCGATCGACAATTTGTGACTCGGATCAAGGTTCAAGGCCCGTTGATCGATGATTTGTGATTAACAGATCTAGGTTCAAGGCCTATCGACCGACAGATTGTCAAAAGGTCAGATCGAGGTTCAAGGCCCGTCGATCGACAACGACTCGGATTGAGGTTATGATCGATGATTTGTGACTATAAGATTCAAGGCCCATCGACCGAATGTAGGCTAAGATTAAGGCTCAATGATCGAGACTATCACATGCCTTGCTGAGGGGGACTTTGTCAAAGTGTTGACTGTTTGACTTGGCCCTTGGTGATGTGGTTAGACCACGTCCAAATTTAGTCCCCCTGTACGTGGTGTTTTTGAATTTTGAAATAAAAGGATAAAGCGGCGCGTGCATAGAAAACGTAATAATGTCTTACCTTGGAAACCGATGTCTTTTCGGCTACTATCAGTTACCTATTTAATGGGGAGGTGATGATACACAACTGTTCAGTGTCTTTATCTTCTCCAAAACTCTAACCGTGATCTATATATAGAACCAAGGCAGAGAGAGGGGAAACCATTACAGAAAGAAAAGAAAAAAGGGAAAGACCGTGCCAGGCCAAGAAGCAAAGTGAAGTTAGCATATTATGTTAAATAAATGAGTGTGTGAGGGTAGCAAAGCTATTACTGTGTGTAAAAGTGGGTAAGATATTCGATAAAATGACAAAGACAAAGCAGTTGAGCAAACCCGGTGAACCAGTGCCGGAAGTACCGCCGGAGGAGGAATGGAAGAGGGCTCCATTCTTTGGGCCCATGGATAGGTTCTGGACAGCTACAGGAGACATAGCCAGTGACGAGATTGACAGTGATGTGGCCCAATTAATGGAAGGAAAAGTCGCCGTGGAAGCAGGAGCTCAACCAACGGTAGACTCTGTGCACCAATTTGCCATTGAACAATGGATGTATCCCTTTTGTTTTATGAAGTTTAAAACACCATTCGGCCCATGTGCAGGATGGGAGGAGTGGTCTGAGGATATCTTCAGCCACAAAATGTATATGTTATGGTTACGACAAGCACGAGTTGCACGAGCCATGCGTCTGTCCAGCAAATTGAAAGTGTCGCGCGATACCCCAGGATTGGAATTGCTAATGTCGAGATGGTGTCGTGCAACCCACACGTTTGTGGCAAAGTGGGGAGAATTTACACCTACATTGGAAGACGTGGCCCAATTACTTGGCCTGCATGCCATGGGTAGAGGATATACAGTGCCCCTGACGATAGATGAAGTGGAGAAGGGTATCATGACTACATTAGAGGAAGGGTTGGAGAAAACCAAGAATTATGGGTCCTTTTTTAATGTGAAGGGGGCTAGTCATGAAGAGAGAGCGGAAGGAGCCAGAAAATGTACAACAGGAGCCTCAATATGCTACTGGTTCAAGGACCCGCAGCCTTCCTTCAAGGGGGACAAGTCCGAGCGTCCCTTTGTTGATGGAGACAAGATTGGACATCCTACAGAGCTCGCAGCATATGTATTGTGCTGGTTATCCAAGTATATATTCCCAGGGACCCCAGATGATACACCATTGAGTCGATGGTGTCTGATAGCGGTGAAGATAGCAAGTGGGATTGCGATCCTACTGGGGCCATTATTCTTGGGGACACTGTACCATCGATTGGACATGATTGCTGAGGATAGCACGCGCTTGACTGGCCGCTACCCCATGGTGTCCTATGAAGCCAGTGGGTTTTTACTGATGTTCTTGTATGAGAGATTCCCTGCGTATGGCCCTTTACCCTTGGAGTTGAGCGACCATGGGGCACGAGGAAGACGTTGGTCAGGGCGGATGTATAAGCGGGCACTTGGGGAAGTGATAGACTCCGAGCGAGAGTTTGTGTTCAGGCCCTATCGAGAGGAGCTAACAGGGGTGGCGGACATGGGGATCTATTGGGAAGATTTGAGAGTGTTCATGCCAAGGCAAGAAACGGGGGATGCAGATGAGCAAACTTTTGCCTTGGTGGTGCTGCCAGGACATCTGCACGGGCGATTTGAGCTAGGCGATATGAGCAAAGTGTACAACCCAAGGCGGGTACCCAGGCAATTTGGCTATGATCAAGGGTTCCAAGCTACTGTGGCTTGGTAGGAAGATATGATGAATTTGACAAAGTCTTATTCCGGTATAGTGGACTATATGACCTATCTGAGGAAGAAAATGGCAGTATCGTGATTCCTTCGCGAAATCGTCATGGGGATATAATAGGAAAATACAGGTGATTTTGGGTAGATTGCGTGGGGGCCTTCAGGAGGTTTTGCCTATAGACTCCTCGTCTTTATGCTCCCATGCCTATATACAAGGATGATGTGTCCCTGCACATGCCTAGGCCAGGAGAGCGAGGCCATAGATCGATAGTGGCTCCCTTGGCTGCAGAAATGGGCAATGTAGCGTATGATGTTGTACCCGAGGTGTATGTTTCCGTTGCACCCGTCGAGCCAAGAGCAGATAGAAGGGCATCGACGGAGGCCCAGTCCAAGAAAGTGGTCAGTGAAGAGTCAATCGCTGACCGGAGATGGCAAAAATGGAAAGCTTCAGCAATCCAAGTGTCAGAGGATGAAGAGTCAATTGGGGAGACAAAAGAAGTGGTGGAACTCAATAGTGATGATGCCTCGCCGAGGGTAGAAAAGGGGGAGACGACGGAGGCATCGAGCGTAGGCGAAAAGTTTAGTGGAGGTGTCGGGGCAGCGCTAGCTGCCGGGGGCTAGAAAAGAGAGATCGTCAGGCGACTGATGACAGCTGAGAGCTCTTTGCCTCTGATCCGGATAGCGATGGGTAAGTAGTGAAAGTGATGGTTCGATTTACCATGTTTTGAATTACAATTAATATCATTTGTGGGTTGCAGGACGTCGGCTACAGATTGTAAAGAAGACGCCGATAACCATCTTGTGTATGCCACGAGTGGAGAAGCCCTCGATACCAAGATTGCTGATGCCCACACTGCTATTAGAATACCCGGGTGAGGGGGCATCCAATGCGAAGGAGGAAGAAGAGGTAGCAGTGGAAGAGTAGGCCTCAGGAGACACCGTGAGGTTGGAAGATATAGAAGCGGAGATATAGATGGGCCCTCACGAGGTGGAAGTGCTGCAATTGCAATCTTCCCTGGAAGGCTCAAACAGTACCTTGAATAGGCGAGTGTCGGGCGAGGAAGCTGAAAATGGAAAAAATAGTGGGATAGGTAGAGTGCCCCCAGTAGAAGGGAGGCAACAGAATGGGGTGGATCTTGCCATGGCTGTGACAGAGGAGACAGCCTGGCGAGGAGTGATGATTGGGGCACATTTCATCCCCTTGCTAGAGGTGGCAAACCGAGCGTAACCAGCGATGGTGGAGGCGATCGGAAGGAGGCATCCGATGTTCCATCGCTTTAGGTACGAAGCCTTAGGGCGAGTACTCGAAATATTTGCAACTGTGGCGCAAGGGGAGGGGTCAAATGAAGTAATGCAGGAGGCCCGCGAGTTAATTGAGTTGCTCAAGGACCGAGTGGAAATAGAATGACTGAATAGGAGACTTGACGCTTGCGAGAGAGTGGTAAGGCAAGCTCTCATGGCAAAGGAGATGGTAGAGTTAGATGCCCAAATTACGCGAGACAGGTGTATGATGGAAGATATTCAGGCTCGCCTGTCGATGGCAGAACAACAGCAGGCTCTGGTAGAAGAGACATACAACGAGCTTGGTGGCGATGCAACCATTCTGCTAAGTTATGAGTAGGCTAATGATTGTAGATTCATAACCAGCAGGTCCATTATGTATTAGCTTTTGTTATTGAATGAAAGTTGAGCAGTTATAGAAATGGTGTGATAACAAACTTGCATATATTATTTCTGATATAGGACTAACACAAAGTACAAAAGAACTAACTGTGGTAAAGCCTTAGCCAACTGGAATTTATGGGTTCAGCCTTGCGCCCATCACCCTGCAGTCTGTAGTAACTATTGGGTTGGACCTTAATAACAACATAGGGCCCTTCCCATTTGGGGGTGAACTTTGGGGCAGAGGTATTGTGCATAATGTGTTTAGCAGCTTTAAGAACAAGGTCACCGACCTGGAAGGTACGAGGTCGTACATGCTTGTTATAAGATTTTGCCAAGGTATGTTGGTAGACCTTGAGATGTTGGCGTGCTAACTCCCGTCATTCATCTAAGGCCTCAAGATGAGTGAAGTGGTCAACCTCACTTCGAGCGGCCAAAGCAGTAGCAGGAATAACAATCTCGACTGGGAGAATAGCTTCTGTGCCGTACAGGAAGGAAAAAAGGAGTTTGGCCTGTGGCGCACTTTTTGGAGGTGCGATGGGCCCAAAGAGCTAAGGGCAGCTAATCGACCCAATTAGACTTGTGCTCGGCGACCGTGCGACTGATGATTTTAAGGAGAGATTTGTTGGTTGCTTCAGCTTGGCCGTTGCCTTTGAGATAGTAAGCAGAAGATCGGCGCTGTGTGATGTTATATTGCTGAAGAAGCTGAGCAACCCAATAATTAACAAAGGGGGTGCCATTGTCTGAGAAGATGATCGCTGGGATGCCGAACCAGCAAATGATATTTTCACTAATAAAGGCTGTAACAGCGATGCCTGTGGCATGGCGCAAGGGGAATGCTTCAGCCCACTTGGAAAAGAAATCTGTAGCTGTGAGAATCCAATGCATTTGATGAACTGTAGGATTGATTGGGCCAATGAGGTCCAGACCCCAAGTGTGGAAGGGCCAAGGGGCAGCAAGTGGATGAAGTACTGTTGGGGGAGTATGGATCCGATGGTGATGGTATTGACACAGTTGACATCGTTGAACAAGCATCTTAGCATTGTACTCCATAGTTGGCCAATAGAGCCCCTTGTGGATCAAGTGTTGAAATAATTTGTAGGCACCCTGATGCTCGAGGGAGTGAGCTTGATGAAGTGCTTCACGGATCTCAGCACCAGCAAGGAATCGCAGGAGGTGCCCTTCGCGAGAAAGGCGGAACAAACTACCATCGCAAACTTGGAAGCGTGGCGCTTGGTGCTTGAGCTTGGCGGCCAAGGTTGGATTGTCTGGGCGATGACCATGTTAGAGGTAACGAATGAAGGGGGTCCGCCAATCAGCTAACTCGAGCTCGAGGACCTCAGTTGCATCAGGGCATTTCTGGCAAGCAACACATGCGCGCTGCAATGCGGTAGCCTGACTGGACATTTGAGGCCAGTAATAGCCTTAGCGCTGGAGCCGCCGGTAAAGAGCGATATCAGTAGTGGCGCATTGTTGCTGATGAACACGGTGAAGAACTTCACGAGCCTCGGCGTCCCCGAGACTGCGACTGAAGATGCCAGAGGGGATCGATGATAAAGGACTCCTTGGATCAGATGAAAGCATTTGAGCTGAGTAAGGGGTAATGAACCGGTGAAGGTCTGCATTTGATAGATAATTGGGCGACGCCAATCACTGATATCTTCAAGAGGGAGCAAACTGGCGATGGCAGGCTGTGTTTGTTTATGAACAGTGATTTGTTGTGTGGGGCCAGAGATGTCAAGTTTGGAGGCGAGCGTAGCAAGAGCATCTGGATATCGATTGACAAATCAAGAAACATGAGCCAAGTGAACGGTGGTGAATCAAGAGAGAAGCTTTTGAATTATTGTACGATACGAGGCCAAAGAGGACTCCCGAATTGCAAAATCACCTGAAGTCTGTTTGACAATCAACTTTGAATCGCCATCGATGCATAACCGGGAGACCTGTTTATCGAGTGCTGTTAATAGCCCCAGGATGAGTGCTTCATATTCAGCTTCATTGTTAGTGCACTTGAAGTCGAGTTTGACAGCAGCGATAAAGGTGAGGGTCGGGCAGGAGAGCACAATGCCCGCGCCTCCGCCCTTTGTGGTGGAAGAACCATCAAAAGACAAGTGCCATTCCTGAGCTTGCTCAAGAGAGGCGACCTGCAGGTCATCGAGAGGTAACTGTTCATCCACCAGCTCATGAGCTGCATTGGGGAATTAAGCGAGCAAATCCGCGAGAGCTTGACTTTTAATGGCCTTCGGCTGTTGGCAGGTGATGTCAAATTCTGCTAAAGAGAGAAGCCATCATGCGGCCTTGCCTGTAAGCATAGGTTTGGAGAGAAGGTGCCTGTAGGGATCGCATTTAGTGATGAGAATGATGCGATAGGCGAGGAAGTAGTGCCGAAATTTGTGCGCGGCAAAGACCAAGGCGAAACAATGTTTTTCAATAAGGGAATACCGTTCTTCAGCGTCACGGATCAGATGACTAATGTAATAGATGGAGCGTTCTTGATTACCAATCTCCTGTGTGAGTAGTGCCCCAATGGATTGAGGTGTAGAAGTAACATACAGTAAGAGGGGTTGGTCTTTTGTGGAGTATGCATAATCTGCGGGGACAATAGCACGTGCTTGATCCGCTCGAAGGCGGCCTGATGAATATCCATCCATGAGAACTTCATTTTTCCCTTAACAAGGGTACTAAAGGCGTGTATGGCCTCTGCGAGGGCTGGCAAGAATCGACAAAAATAAAAAAAAATTTGCCCAAAAAGCTCTTCAGCTGCTTAGAAGTCGTTGGAGATGGCATGTCAAGAATTGCTTTGGCTTTTGTTAGATCGACTTCAATACCCTGGCGAGTGACCATAAAACCTAAGAACTTGCCATGGTTGACGCCAAAGGCATATTTGAGGGGATTCATTTTGAGATTATACTGGCGGCAACGCTCGCACACTTAGCGTAAGTCATGGAGATGATTGGCTTTCCGTTTAGACTTGACCACCAAATCGTCCACATAATCGTCGAGATTGTGATGGAGTAGATCATAGAAGATAGCAGCCATGGCTTGTTGATATGTAGCACCTACATTTTTCAAACCGAAAGGCATGACAGTGAAGTGGAAATTACCAAGAGGCGTTCGAAAGGCTGTCTTTTCTGCATCACCCTCGGCCATCCGGATCTGATTGTAACTACTAAAACCATCCATGAAAGAGAACATTTCATGGCATGCAGTGCCATCGACTAGAGTATCAATAATGGGTAAAGGGAAGTTATCCTTTGGGCAGGCCTTGTTGAGATCCCTGAAATCAACGCACACCCTGAGTTGGCCATTCTTCTTCTGCACAGGAACGATGTTGGCTAACCACGTGGGTTGGATGATAGGCTTGATGAAGCCGGCCGCTAACAACTTTTGGACCTCATCTTTAATTTGCAACTCAAGGTCTGGCCGGAAGGTTCGCGAGCCTTATTTAACTGGGCGAACATTGGGCAAAACATTGAGATGATGGGAGACCAACAAAGGAGAAGCCCTGGCATTTCGCTGTATGTCTATGCAAATACATCGCGAAATTCCTGCAAGAGAGACAAGGTGAGATCTATCTTAAGAGCTGAGTGTACCCGAGAAGAACGTGATGCGAGGCGGCTCATTAGGATAGGCAAGATTAACTTCAACAAGATCTGGCAGCGGTGCTTTCTCGAGAATTCGAGGTTGATACGCTGGGGAGTCAGTAGCGTGAACCTCTGCTGACCTCGGGCATCGTCATAAACGGTAAATGACACGACCGTTGGGGAGGCGAACGCGTTTGCATTTATGTGGGGCATCGCCTGTCTGAACGAGAGAGGGAGGGTGAAAAATGCCCTTTTGGGCGTCAGCCCAGGTGGGTAGAGGAGTAATGATAATGGTTGCATCACAGTCTTACGCGCAGTCATCAAGGTCATTGAAGAATAACGCATCCATGTAATAAGCCTCAAAGGTGGCAAAAGGGCGAGCTGAATAGGGGACAGTGACAACCTTGTTATTCCGTATGCCTTTGAAATATTGATGGTAAATGGAAGGGACAATGCCAAAACGGTGCATCCATGCGCGTCCCAGAAGGATGTGATAAGAAGTGTCGCTGTCAATAACGTGGAACTTCGTGGAGGCTTGGAATTTGTTAACAGCTAGATCAACATTAACATAGCCCATCGTGCGACGAAGATCATTGCCAAATCCTGCGACTTCGATTGGCTCTTTGATCAGACGATCCTCAGAGATGCCAGCTTTGCGAAATGTGGAGATGGGTATGACATTGATGGAAGAACCATTGTCAAGAAAAGCGCACTTAAATTCTACTCACTTGATAGAAGCCAGCACATACAATGGTCGATTTTAGGCACCTGGGCTCTGTTTGTCAGCATCGGAAAAGGATAAAGTTTTCGTTAGTGCAGGAAAGTTAGGTTTAACAGAGGCGACCAAAGGACACACATCCGCTTCTGAAGAAGGCTCTGCCTCATGGCCTGAATTTGTTTCTGTAAGCTCATCATAGCAGGTGATAACAGCCACACGATAATCGGGGTACGGGAACCTATGAACATCCTTAGGAGGGGTGACTTTAAGATCACCAGTTGTCATTCGCCGTTGAAAGAGGCGGCGCAAGCCCCAGCAATTAATAGTGGGATGAGTAACACTTTGATGGTAAACACAAAAATCAGCGTTAGCTCGATCTGCTGGGGTGGGCTTGCGATGTAGGGTAAGTAGAACAACATTGCCATCCTTGACCCATTGGGCGAGTGTATTCTTAACTTCCTCAATACGAATGGGGAAATGTGGTGGTTCCTCGCCATGTGGTTTGAATTAGGATTTATCAAACCGCTTTTAGAGGCATTCCTCAATGGTCGCTGCAGGTGCAGGCTTGCAATTGGAAGGTTTTGGAGCTTCAAACTTAGGGGCATCATATTTTGGAGGCTTATACTTAGCAGCAATTGGCTTGAGATCCTTGAGATTCCGGGTTGCAATCTTGAGCTCGCCAAAGCTAGCTATCCTTAGGTTGACAAGGTGGAGCTTGTAAATCTGCAGTATGCCCTGGATGCAAATACCAACCAAGTCCATTTCATTACTACTTTCAAAGCATTCACCTACACGATCTCTGAACCGATTGATAAAGACGAGGATGTCCTCATTGTCCTCTTGAGCCTTCTTTGTGAGAGACAAGGTGGTGACACGTTCTTCAGCCCGGAAAAACTTAGTGAGGAAGCGATCTTTCAGTTGCTCCCAGGTACTGATGGAGTCTAGTTCGAGATTGAAATACCAACGATAAGCTCAATCAGTTAGACATTTAGAGAACTCGCTTAGACGAACCACATGATTATCACCGAAATGACCCAAAGCCTCAACAAAGAGCATGACATGTTCCCTAGGATCACCGGTCTTGCCATTAAACTGGGGAATTTGGGGACCAAGTATCCCTATGGATATGGAGTCTGTGCAATAGCAAGAGGGTAAGGAGGCTCACTGCCAAAGTCTAAGGCACGAGAAGTTGGGGTGCCTTTCTTGAAAAGATCGCGCACTTCAGAATGTGTGAACACTTATTTTGGGGCAGAGTAGGAATAGGAGGGGAGAGGACGGTGTGCAGGGTTCGCTTGAGCATAAGTGGGTGAGGAGCAAAACATGGGTTCTTTGCCTTGAGACAGGAATACTCGAGGAGCCATAGGGGTTACCTGTAATTCAGGGTTGTAAAGTTCTGGAATGGGCTGTGATAGATCTACACTACAATCTTGACCTTTTGGGGACTTCGTGAGTTGCTGCTCATGTAATGGAGGCAAATTCACACCAGTTGGGGTACTGGTACCGAACACCATCTGAGTAGTTGAAGGGAGCTCTGTTGGAACTATAGTCGGCGTCGCCGAGACCCTGCTATCAAGAACACGGAGAGCTTCCTCAAATTTCTCCATTCGGGTCATCAGTTGGTGATTCATGTTCTGCATAGCCTCCAAAATAGCATCGGTGCTAGATCTGTGTCTGGATTTTAAAGAGTGAGACCTGGTGCTAGTAGCTGATCGGTTGAGAATTTGATCTATAATAAATCAACCTTCGCAATAGCACGAATCATTGTAAAATAGGGCTATTGGTCGGGTAAGTCAAACCACTGGGACTGCGCTAATCTATGGCAACCTAAGTGTCTAGAGTCTTTTTAGAATGATACGGGGTGTTCATAGAGGATTTGTTGGTTGTCACTTAAGCTATGAAATTAAGATGCATAAAATAAAAGCTTGCAAGAATTTAAAGGAGATGAAATACAAGTAAAGAGGACTAGGGAAGTGAATCCGCCTCCATCCCTATACACATGCTAGATTAGAGCTAAATTGGGGGAAAAACAATATATGATGGTCAAGAAATATATAGCAACACTAGTTGCCATATAATCAACAAAATGTACATTAAATCTCAAGCAAGCATGATCCATCAAAGGTGAACATGTTTAGACTACCTAACTAAGGTGTAGCTTAACCACATTTACTTGAATGAAAGATTATCAAGCCCTAGATAACATGATGAAGCACATGAAGGTAAGAAATAAGCATAAACCATCAAAGGCATCACCTAAGCAATGATTTATCAAAGTTCTCCAACTCCATGCCATTAAAACTATTCTATGATCTCACTACCATTGTCACCATGAGAGTGCAAGCAATATGATTTAAAGAATAAACCATCTAAGATAGATAATTGACTCAACATTAATCATTGAAATACATGAAGATCCATTACAAGAGGCAAAATGCTTTGGACCATGAAAGGACCAACGATTATACATTACAATCCCCAAAATAGAACTATACTAGGACATACTTACAAGGGAGGGGCTTCATCACCTCCCTAGAAGAAGATTTAGTTACCCATGGAAACTCTAAAGGAAGAAAGAAGCTTGGTCTCCATCCCCATTTTCGAGCTCCTTTGTTGTAGCTTCAAGAACTCCCTCTTCTCCTCCTCCTTCTCTCTTTCTAAAAATCTTACAAGAATGAGATATATTTTCTGATATGTGGTTCCCCTCACCTTCTTGTAGACATTATCCTACCAAACCCTCACCAAACAAGGCTCAACTCCCCACCAAAAGACATCTCCAACCAACCCATAAAGATGGAAATCAGAAATGAGTGAATCAAGGAACAAGTGGGCTGAAGTGATGGACCCTGGAGAGCATTCTGCCCAAAGTTTGAGCACTCGAAGTAAGCCCTTCGAGCGCTCGAAGTTCCATCAGCTTGCTCTCTTCTCTTGACCTACTTTGCACTACTTTGGTAAAACAGCCATAACTTTCAGCTCTGAACTCCAAATGATGAACCGTTTGAAGATTTGGACAAATAATTCAAAGCTCTAAATACACCATGCTTTAATGGAAGTCCAGTTCTTGAGTTAATTAGGTAAAAAATGGAGAGCAAAGTCAAACTCCACTGCTGCCAGAACTTCAGCCTTGAGCCAATTGTTATTCAAAGAATCAACAAAACATCATTTTTGCTCCTTTTTGGCCAATAAACCTGAAAATATATAAAAACATGCAAATGAAGATAATCTACATAAAATAATCAAATAATGGACTTAACTAATGCAACTAAGGGCGCTTGAATATGCAATATTCGGCGCTTATCACACCCCCAAACTTACATTTTGCTAATCCCTTAGCAAAACCAAAATGAAAAAC